TGGGAGGGGGTGGTCTCCTGTCCCTGATTCATGCTCCACGAGCGTTCTTCTGTTCTGCTTATGTGTGGATGTCAATAACCCTCAGCTTTCAATCTTTCAGATCCATGAGAAGGGGCTGGAGTGTCCTTCCCTGCAGCACAAGGGGTCCCCCACCCAGGAATTGCCCTGTGTGAGCTGCTGGCCTCCCTAACCGGCCCCCACAGCTGAGGCTGACCTTGCTCTGTCTCTTCCCTCCATGAGCCGAGGGTTCCATCCAGTGTCTGACCATGCTGTGTTTTCCTGGGTAACTCCAGGACTAAGATGCCGTGGGCAGAAGTGCCCGGAGTCCTCACTAGGACTGGTAACATGGTGTTCTGTTCGTTGCTCTCCATGGGTGGGATTAATGGGGCTCTGTTACGATGTCTCACAGACGTTTTAACTTAACATGTCCAAAATGGAGTTCTGGTCAACCGCCCTCACACAGCTTGCTTGAAAACAAACCTACACTCGTTGCTCAGTCGTCACAGGCTCTATAAATGACACCATGCACCCCAACATTCAAGCGGAGTCGGGGAGCCCTGACTTCTCTTCCATGCATACGGCCCACGTGGGATCGTGGCAAATTCCATCCGTTCTGTCTCTAGGTGTGCTTTCACTCTCCTCTGCCATCTCTCTCCGCTGGACTTCTGTGGCCCCCAAGTGGTTTCTCAGCTCCCTTTCCGTCCCCTCCAGCGCACTTTCCAGACAGCAGCAACACACACGTCCAATTCCACACCTCTCTCCGTACACCTGTTTGTTGTGCTCCAACTACAATCCTGCCTCCCGCCCGGTCTCCGAGGCTTCACGAGCTGGCCTGTGTGTCTCCCCACCACTCCTTGGTCAGGCTCAGCTCACACCTGCCCCAGCAGGAAGGCTCTACGCTTTCTCTTTTTGTTTCCGCAAGCATGCCAAATTCTCCCCTTCCTTAGGGCCTCTACACATGTTACTCCCCTTCCTGGGACAGCGTCTTCCCCCTGTCATGCACCCCACCCCGCTCGTCATGGGATGATGGACCCCGCAAGCCCTTCCACGTCTCTGCATCCCCATGACCGCCTCAGAGAGGCCCTCCCATGTTCCTGCCCTCACCATATAGATTCTCAGCCCCTGCTTAGATCCCTTCGAGGCATGGATCCCAAACCCCTATTTCTTTCCTTGTGCATTTGCCTGTCTGTTTTGCTTGTTTCCATCTTAGCAGGTGAGCCCCATGAGGTTGGGCAGTGTCTCTTACATTTGGCGTGAATCTCCAGCACCTGGCACAATCTTTTGTGCATAGCTGGTGCTGAATGAAAACTGGTTGAATGAATGAATAAAGGTCACAAAAAGAGGGGAGGAGGGGATGACTGCCAAAAACAAGTCTTTTTTCCCAGCATGGGAGTAAGGGGAAAAGTTATTTATTTCTCTCAAGTTTTTTCTTTGGTTACCAATGTTGTCAAAGCAACAAGGCCTGTGGCGATGGTTCTCCCAATGCAGAAAGCTTCAGCTCTTCAAAACATGCCCTTCCAAGAAAGAAAGGCAAAGAGGGAAATAATCCAGGGAGCCAAATGGCTGTTTTCCATTTTGGAGCTCTGGAGCCTACCTCTGCCCACAGGGCTTTCTAATGGCAGGATTATGTGAAACTTCCTTTTATGCCAAGTTGGGTTCATCACCTTCTTTCTGAGCAGCTGGCTGGGGATTGGGTGAGGGGTTGAATTGCTGCTAGAGCTTTCATTGGCACTGACATTTTGGGTCTTGAAACAAATCCCCTGTGATTAAGAAGATTCTTTTCCCTCTGTGGTCATGACACAATGACCACAAGACTGCGGATATGGAAAATGAAGCGGAGGCATGCGTAGCTAAGATTCTAGGCCTCTCTGAGATGTGTATGCATGTGCGTGAGTGTGCGCGCGTGTGTGTGTAGGTCACTGGACTGTTGAACCCCAGCTCATGTCCTGCCCACACTGCTAACACTGTTACAGGAGGTCATCCCATAGCACATTGAAGCTCTCCTTCTCCCTCCTGACAGGTTTGGGCGGCATCCCTTTGAGGCTCTTACTGGAGATAGCATCCATTAGTTGAATAAATGCCTGCTGGGGACAGAGGTGTCCATATAGGCACCATCCACGAACCTGGGGAGAGGTCCTGTGCCCGTAGCTGTTTGAGCCCCCCTCAGGGTGAACTCTCATGCTTCGTTTACACTTAAACAGATGACAAATATCTATCTGAGCTCTCCGCGTGAAATGGCCACAGCCTTGTTCCCTGAGCCCATCTCTCCTGGGGTTTAGATAGTGAATGTGGTCCCAGTTGAAGTCCAGGGTGGGCCGCACCAAGCAGTCCTCAGGCAGGGGGGTCAGGGAAGAAGGACACATGGCTAGGAAGGAGGCCGAGGGGGAGGGGAAACAAAGAACAAATGCAAATGTGGAAGGAGGTGGTAAGTTCAAGGACGAGAGTCAGGAAGTGCACCACGCTGGACAATGAGGAAGGCCAGGAGACTTGCTGGCTGCACTTGGTGTTGGTCCTCCAGGAAAAGTCTGCTCTCCACATCTCAGGAAAGGAGACTGCCCAGTGGGGCTGGGTGCCCTGGTCTTTGAGCTAAGCTGGCCTTCCCAAAATGTCCATGGGGGTGGAGGTGAGAATGTGCAGGTAAGTCATCTGGCCGGGGTGGACACACGCTCAGTCGGGACACAGCCCTACTGTTGGCTTGCTACAGGTCGCATTCTGATTGGTGAGGGCCCAAAGTGCATCAGGGCTTCAAAATTTTCAATATCTTCTCCTTCTGGCAATGCCAAGAACCAACAGAGGAGTGTTTCTCCAGAATTAGTTAACATCAGAATCGCATTGAAAATGTAGATTGCCAAAGTCTCACCTACAAAGATCTCATCCAACACAATAGGTCTTTTGAGGCCTAAGTGCCTGCATTTTACAAGCTTTCTCCGTGACTCTAGAGGACCCAAAAATTGGAAAACCACGGCACACAAATCACAATGGGATAGGACCCTCTTTTCCATGGAGGGTTCCTGCAGTGGGGAGGCAAGACGCCAACAGACACCTAATGCATGCCTGCTCCAGAGGGAGGCTGGCCGAGGATCCTCTGGGGGGGGGGGCATCCTAGTGAGCTGCTCAGATGGAGCTGGGCCGAGGGGAGCCTTTTGGGTTCCTAGCCTTATCGAGCCCCTATGCGTTCCTTTGGTCACGCCATTCCTTGTGACTACGTTCCCGAGCCTCTGATGTTTCTTACTCATTTACCTAAAAAGGCATTCTTTCAGCTCTCTCCTCTGATGAACTCATGTTTTCACTGAAACCACATCACGCTCACTGTAAATGCCTATCCCTACTGAGGACAGACTACATGGACAATACCGGGGCAAGACAGAAAACAGCACACGGGCAACACGTGTTTGTGCGCACAGCACTGCTGGCGGAAGGGGCTGGGGCAGCCCGGCTGAAGAGCAGCGCGGCAGTGCTTGGTTCAGAGGAAGTGAGCATGCGGCCAGCTGCCCTCAACTCCAAACCCAGAGAGACAGCCCCGGTGACAAAGAGGGGAGAGCAGAAGACCTTGCTGGCGCCATTTATGGTGGTGGGGAGTTGGCTGCCATCTGGGCGGCCGTGATCCGGGGCGTGGCCAAGTAGGCTGCAGGGGGCACCCCAGAAAGGATGATGTGGCCATCCGAGCGCCTGAGTGCTGTGAGAAAGAAATCAACTGGGGTCTGTAACTCAATCTGTAAGTTAAAAAATACAGACACCCAAAGCAATGACCATGAAATGCCATTGTGTTCCCACCTCTGCTGCCATAGCTTGTCACCTGTAAGGTGATTAGCCTGGATGGAGGTTTTTCAGGGTCAAGGGTAAATCCAGATACTGGCATTTCCCCTGGCGTGTTTGCCAGCTACATGGCTTATATTTCTCTGCAGGTTCCCAGCTAGGTCTGAGAACTGGTATCTGCAATCAACCTTCAAACCTTTGTTTTTCCCAGGAGATGGGGAATGGAGGTTTAAATCCATGAATGTGGTTCTGGCTGCTGGATCTCCACATGTCAAGCCACACAGTCTGTCTTTAGAGACGACAGGGGGCAGAAGGAGAGGGACAGAGAGAATCTTAAGCAGGCCCCATGCTCAGTGTGGAGCCCAGTGTAGGGCTTGATCTCACAACCCTGAATATCTTGACCTGAGCCAAAATCAAGAGTTGAACGCTTAACTGACTGAGGCACCCAGGCGCCCCAGATGACATATTTTCTAATGTTCTGTTATGTTTCCAAGTTCTTTATGCTCTCAAATCCTCTCTACGCCACTCTTGACAACATGCTTATTTACCTAACATTTGCATTTCCCTTTCAATTCTTGGGCTAAAATCATGAACATTCTGCCCCAGCAGGCCATCCTGTGAGCCCTGCTCTAAACATGACCGGCATCCATGACTTTCTGACCACAGACTTTTGAAAAGCCTCTTTTGGTAGAGAATGCTAAGTCTGATTTTCCTCCACGTCAAGAAAGTACAGATGTTGAACCAAGCACAGACAGAAGAGAAACATTTTCATGTCCACTCCCCATCCCCGAGGTCTCTCCTGGATCCTGTCTACACCAAGTCCCAGAGCAGACACAAAAGACACCTGGGGACGTCTTGAACCCTACAGGTCATCAGTGCCCTTGCAAACTACAGCCCCAGAACATCAGGAAGATCATATCACCAGTATCCGGAGGGAGGTGTCCAGGAGCATAGACTCTGGGGTCAGAGTGTCTGGGAGTGAATCAGCTTAGCCTGCTCCCCCCGCTGGATGGTCTGGAGCAAGTTCCTCCACCTCTCCATGCCTCGACTTCCCCACATGCAAAACAAGACGAAATTGGTGAGAGGGTTTGGCAGAGACCGTGCAGGCCGGTCCAGGCCTGGCCCGGAGGTGAGTCAGTGGACATGTGGGCCACTATTCTGCAGCCGAGGAATGGCGGAGGAATCAGGCAGAAAATGTCCTGTGGAATGACCCTTTTTATCCAGCAGAGAAGGAGGGTCTGTACCTCTACAGTGGGGCTGCTCCCCCCTCCAGGTGCCGTTGGGAAGACACACCACGCTGCTGGGCCCAACCAGCCGGAACCCAGGGTTGCAGGTAAAATGGACTTCATGATCCACTAAGTACTTGCTTCCAAACTTTCTGCCATCTGGGGGGGCATTCAGAGCAGGGCAGGACACTGCAAGGACAAAACAAAGGACCATGGTCACTTAACATCTCTCTCAGTTCCAAGGCTTCTCATGTGTATGTGCTTCTTTGACGAGTGCCTCCTCCAGGCTGTGCACAGGGCTGGACACTTTTTTTTTAAAGATTTTAATTATTTATTTGACACAGAAAGAGAGATTGAAAGAGAGGCAGTGAGAGAGGGAACACAAGCAAGGGCATGGGGAAAGGAAGAAGCAGGTTTCCCACAGAGCAGGGAGCCCGACCCAGGGCTTGACCCTAGGACCCCAGGATCATGACCTGAGCCAAAGGCAGATGCTTAACAACTGAGCCACCCAGGAGCCCCAGGGCTGGACATTTTTAATGCTATGACTCACTGAATCCTCCAAGCACTCATGGGCATGGGTGAGACGTGCCCACTAGTACAAGCAGAGCTGGCGTCTCCAGAGACACCGAGGGTTGGGTGCAGGGCCTGGCAGTGTGGGAGGGTCAGAGTTGGGACCCCCCCCCCCACCCCAGTTGCAGCTGGCCCACCCACTCCTGCCTCCCAGGAGCTCTAGCCCTGCTGGGTTTCTTAGGCCTTCTGAACAGGCCGGGGTCAGGCCCGCCTCTAGGCCTTAGCTAATGCTCTTTTCTTGGCCTGGAATATTCTTTCCCCAGAACGTCCCCTCTCTGGCTCCTTCTCACTCTTCAGGTCTCAACTCGATTGCTACCACCTCCCAGAGTGTTCTCTGGCCCCCTCGCTTAGCTAAAACCTCCTCAGGCCCTCTCTACCCCCCTTGAACCTTGCTTTCTTCTTAGCATATGTAATTATTGGAGTTGTCTTCTCGACGTATTTGTTTCCACACTTGTTGTCAGTGTTCTCCCTCCAAAGGCAGCGCAAGAAGGTAGGGACCTCACGTGGCCTCGCATCCCTGATGAGGCCCTAGCACCAGCCCCAAGCCTGGCACACAGTGAGTGGCCGATAAATAATTCTTGAACAAATGAACGAATGAAACATTTCTTTATTGAGCGGCTTACCATGTGCCAGGCAGTAGATTAGGCGCTTGGGATAGTGAACAAAACAGCAAAACTCAGCTCTCAGGAAACCCCCTTTAACAGGAGTGCCCACCAATGACCAAGATTCTCCATAAGCAGATGGCAGAGCGTGCTTAAGAAGTGGTAAGTGTCATACAGAAGATACGGTAGGGAGTAGTGTTGGGGACGCCAGGGGAGGGGGCCCATTTTGAATGTGGTGGTCAGGGTAGGCTTCATGGGGGCAGAGTTGAAGAAATGAAGGCATAAGCCTGCAGATATCTGGAAAGGGTAGAGGGAACAAGCTGGTGCAAAGGCCCTGTGGTGGGAGTGTGCCTGGCAGGTCTGAGGAATGTCAAGGGCAGCACGACGGCTGCAGTAGAGGAGACTAGCTGGAAAGCAGTTGGGGATGAAGTCAGAGAGGCATCAGGGAGCCTGCAAGGGTGTGAGCCAGGCAGGAAACGGCCAACTTCCATGGGAATGACAGCAGTGGGCTGCAGCCTGAGCGTGACGTGTCAGATGTGAGGCAGGAAGAAGAGGAGGCAGAAGCCAGAGATGAGGTGGTGTGGGCCAGGGCGGGAGCTGGGAACAGAGATAGGGTGAGGGGGAGGCTGACACTGGCTGTGCCATGAAGGCAGAAATGAGTGGATGTCCCAAAGGCATGCTGTGGGCTTCGGGGAGACAGAGGGCCTCCCCACTCCTCCTCTCCCTGCGGCTGGCTGCCTCCCACAACCAGCATTCGTTGTATCAAAGTCCCAAAGGTGGGACAGGTTGGATTTGGATTTTGTTTAGTTGGAAATTCAGAGCCACTTCTAAAATGCCTTTTTGGGGTTTTTTGGGGGGGGGTTAATTTAAGATTTTATTTATTTATTTGAAAGAGAGCAAAATTGAGAGAGAGCCCACAAGCAGGCGGTCGGGGGTGAGGGGAGTTGGGCGTGAGAGGAGCAGCACAGGCAGAGGGAGAAGAAGGCTCTCCCCTGAGAGGGGAGACTGATATGGGGCTCGATCCCAGGACCCTGAGATTGTGACCTGAGCCGAAGGCAGACGCTTAACCGACTGAGCCACCCAGGCGCCCCTATGATGCTTTAAGGTAAGCTCCAAGTGTCGTTTTGAAAATGCTCTTGGGTTTTAGACAGATGGGAAAGAGGTGTGACGGACGCAGCAAGGTGCAGTGAGTGACGGGAGAATCACTCAGCGTCGACCATGAGGGGAACGTCTGCCCAGACGGTGATCAGGAGGCACCCTGGACCCTGATGGGCTACCCCCGTCCCAGGCATGCTGGCCTGTGTGGATGGGCATGAGCTGGCCCCTCCTAGTACTCGCAGTGCCCTCTGGTTACCAGGGGACCACTGCTACACCCCTTTCCTTTAGTAAACCTACAACAGGGCACCCAGTGATAAACACTTTGTGAGATGGAAGCGACTGTGAGCTCACATCCCCTGCGGGGCTTCTCCCAGGCTGCTGCCTCAGTGCCTGCAAATAGCTTCATAGCTCTTTTCCAATAGCAGCTACTTTATTGTGCAGAAAGGGATTTTGGATGCTCAGGGTGGCGGGGGTGGGGGAGGCGCTACGGGGAGGGGTAGTGTCTCTTTGGGGAATGAAAATCTTTAAAATCTTCCAAAAAGAAATTCTACCTGCTGGAGCAACTCACAGATGAATCATAACCTGAGTAAATGTAACAGCACTGGGCACACAGTAGGTGCTCAGTAAATGTTAGTGGAGTTAACAAATGCATACAGACTGATGAAAAATCAGTCTGCAGTCACTTCTCAGGTGGGAGCCATGGGCCTCTGCCTCTGTCCAGTGGAAGGATGTGCCCTTTGGCACAAGGAGCACGACGTGGTGAGGCTCCAGGGCCACGGGGAAGCTTCCGCACCTTCTGGAATGAGGTTACTGTGTAAGGCACGAGCTCAGCAGTGAAGCGATTCTAGAGATTCGGGAACACGGAGGGAATGAGACTGCCTGGGTAAAGCCCTGACGCTGATCAGGTGTGATGTTCCCTAGAGAGAAAGCCTGGGAAAATAGGAGGGTGATTCCTAGAAGCTAGAAAGAGGAAGGCTAAGAATTCTCCAGGACTAGAAAGTATTCTTTCTGACTCCCCGCAAATGCCCTTAAAAAAAAAAAAAAGTTAAAAATCATTTGCCTACAACCTGGAAGCTTCCAGCTGCAGGCCCAGCACCCCCAGCCCCGGACCTGCGGTGGAAACCCTGGCAGCCGCTCGCCTCCATGTCCAGCCCGTGGGAGAGGCAGTGGCACTGTGGCAATATCTAAAAAGAGAATTGGCCATTTTAAAAAATCTTCTATGGTTCAGGGAAGAAAGACTCTGAATCTGGCACTGAGAGGGTCAGTAATGTCACAACAGCTACCTGTCTATCCTAGCGGACAGAGGTCTCTAACACAGGCGGGGCGGTTTTATGAAGGATCTCTTGCAAGCTCTTCTTGGAAGCTTCCAGGGACCCTAGGAGCTGTGATCCTGGGAAAGCAGAAAGGCTCCATGCATTTGAGCCTCTAGCAGGAACAAAAAAAATTCAGATCTAGTACCTAGTGCTGCTAACTCAACTTCTCTTGGCCTCAGTTTCTGCGTCTGTAGCACAAAGGAAGCATGCCCTGCCTGCCTCTTGGAGTCTGGCTGCGGTGAACCGCCCTGAAGGCCAGGGCCTCAAGGTGCCTTGGAAAGTATGAGGACACTGGTGGGTCAGCCTAGCTCTGCACCGGGGGAGCCAAGGAAAACAGTAGCCGCCAACTTAGTGCTGGTGAGACTCCGGATCTGCTACCAGATCCCGAAGGGGTAGGAAATCCACTGTCTTCCCCAGGAAACTTCATCTCACACCACAAATACCACAAAGAGGGCCCTTGATAGATGTGTCTGAAGTGAGTAAATGACATCAGATATTCCCTAGGATGTCCCCCTGACCCGTGTGACCCTGAGGAGAAGCCACCTGGAGGCCAGATGGAAGAAATCCAGTCATCTGTGCAATGGCCCCACGGTGAAAGCTGTGACTGGGACCACGAGGGAAATGCCCTTTGTCTCTCAGAGTCCTACCCTCTGGGAGGGAGTCTAGGGACCCACAGGAACCTCACTGAATGGGAATTGGCCTGAGCAGCAACCCCTCCACCCACCACCACCACCAATGGGGGGACTCACGTCAGAGGGCTGACTGTCATGCCTGAGAAACTGACACCAATGTTGTTTCATGGGCTGTGGCAAGTGTGCCCCACTGGTGCGGGACGTTGGTGGAGGGGAGGTCGTGTGTGTGTTTGGGAAGGGAACTCTCTGTGCTTTCCATTCAGTTCTGCTGGGAATTTAAAACTGCCAGAAAAAAATAGTTTATGAACTTTAAAAAAAAAAAAAAAAAGGATGCCTGGGTGGCTCCGTTGGTTAAGCATCTGCCTTTGGCTCAGGTCATGATCTCAGGGTCCTGGGATAGAGTCCCGCATGTGGCTCCCAGCTCAGTGGGGAACCTGTTTCTCCCTCTGCCTCTTCCCCTGCTTGTGCTCTCACTCTGACAAATCAATAAAGTCTTTAAAAAAAAGGAACCAACCCAAGTCCACCTGGGTGGGGGGGACAGGGAAGGGAAAAGCCGCTCAGGCTCCAGGAACCATGGCTCTTGACAGTTCTGTAAGGACATGTGGAGGAATGTTATCAAGCCTAGAACAAACAGGTCTGAGAGGAACTGGGTGACAGTCAGATGGGGGAGAGGAGAACCAGCAGATGCTCTTCACGCCCTCCCCCCATGCTCCCCACCAGCCTGGGTAGACAAGTGTCCCCACCCGCCACCACAGGAGGCAAGGCAGGGGAAGGCCTGGGGGTCTACTCCAGGACAGGGGCAGGTGTGGGCTGGGGCGGTGGGGGGATGGGGAGAGAACCCACAGGGGAAAGGCCAGCAGCACCGATGCAGGGACCCACCTGGGGGGGAGTCCGGGCCCGCTCTGGCCACCGAGTGGTGCAGCGCCGCCAGCTGGCTCTTCATGCTGCGGAAGCCCTCGGCAAAGCGGGTCTCCTGCCCCTTCAGCACCTGCTGCAGCTGGCGGATGGCCGTGAGGAGCTGCTGTTTGTTGAGACAGTTCTGGGGAGAGAAGGGGTCAGCACCGCCACCGCTGTGGCTCCTCTCAGCTCCTGACAGCCACCCAGGCTCCTGGGCCCCCGATGGCCCCGCAGCCTCACCAGGCACCCCGACACCCGGGGCTGAGTCAGGTCACCAGACCGAGGCTCCCCCGAGCCCACAGATCACAGGGCCAGCTCGCCTCCTGACAAAAACAAAGCTCCTGCTTTTCAGGGTCAAGGGCAGAACCCACGATTCTGAGCCATTGGGTGATTGAGCAGTTCATTCCACCCAAAGCGACTTATCATCCTTCTGTTCCTTCAAAAGACTCCCTCATTCTTCGCTCGGAATCTGTGCTCTGAGATCTGGGCTTGGTGACCTCATTCTTTCTTTCTCTCTTGAACATTGTTAAAAACAGCTGGATGATAAAGCATATAAAACGGTGAAACAAGAAGTTCCCATGCTTCCTGTACTTTTAAAAAATGGAACAAGGCAAAGATGAAAGAACCTCAGTAAGGTAAAGAAGCGTTCGGTGACAGTCAACGTCCCGTTCCGACTGTCTGGAGAAAGCTTTAAAACCAGAACAAGGGGGGGCACCTGAGTGTCTCAGTGGGTTGAGTGTCTGCCTTCGGCTCAGGTCATGATCCCAGCGTCCTGGGATGGCCCCGCATCGGGCTCCCTGCTGGGCGGGAAGCCTGCTTCCCCCTCTCCCTCTGCCTGCGGCTCCCCCTGCTTGTGCGCTCTTTCTCTCTCTCTCTCTCTCTCTGTGTGTGTGTGTCAAATAAATAAATGAAGTCTTTGGGGGATAAAAGAAAAAAGAAAAAAACAGAATTAAGGTGGCACGTGCTTATCATGATAAAGACTACCTCATTTAAAGCAACATCCAGCATCACACTTAGTGATAAATATCTCCAGCTTTCCCGTCTCAATTACCTTTAAGAGCCAGGACTTGAAAAGGAGTAAAGAAGGGGGTGAACACAGTAGGCCCTTGGCCTTGGTCGGGGACGGGGAGTCCCCTGGGGCCCGTGCATTACCTCGGCAGAGCCTTGCCTAACCTGACTCCCATCACCTGCACAGAACGAAGGAGAACATTAAGAAGATAATGAGGGCAGTCTGGGACAGGCTTATGGATCATTTTTAATTTTCTTTTTTATACCCCATTTTTTTTTCTATGAGTCCTGGTTTTTATCGTTTTTTTTTTTAAGATTTTATTTATTTATTTCACAGACAGAGATAACAAGTCAGACAGAGATCACAAGTAGGCAGAGAGGCAGGCAGAGGGGGGGGAAGCAGGCTCCCTCCTGAGCAGAGAGCCCGATGCGGGACTCGATCCCAGGACCCCAAGATCATGACCCGAGCTGAAGGCAGAGGCCTTAACCCACTGAGCCATCCAGGTGCCCCGGGTTTTTATCATTTTAAAAAATTTTTCTAAAAGGCAGTAGGGTGGCTGGGAGTCACATGGCCTCTGCAGCCTCTGAAGGCTTCCAGGCTCGCCAGTGGGGCACTGCCGCCGCGGTCTCCCAGGGAGGCTGCCAGGCCGCTGCTGCACCTTGGGGATTTCACGAAACAGATGACTCACTGGCCTGATTCAATGGATGCTTTTGACACAGCTGAATCCCCAGTTGCCCTGGAACTTGTTAATCCATGGGGGCTCCTTGGCCTCCACCCTACCAGGGCCTGACTGGGCCTAGCCCCAAATGCAATTGCTGGGAAGAGAAGTTTTTTTGTTTTCCTTCTTTCTCCCCCATTGTGGTCCTTCCCATGCAGGTTTGGGGGCGCTGGGGCAGTGACCTCCTGCCATCAATCCCCTACTGGCCCACCCAGACCTGATTTCCCACATCCACATCCCCTCCCTTAAAGAGAAAAAAAGAAGCTGCTTATACACTTGATCTTAGCCAAAAGGCCGAGACGTGATGAGAAGCCGTTTTTTATAGATGGTTTCGTGACTTGTGTGTAATTTACATTTGTGAGTTCATCACAGTTTACAAAGCTAAGTCTGCTTCAAAGACTACTACGGGCTGGGAGCAACCCTGTGAGGGCCTGGGGCGGTCTCTCTTTCACAAATGAAAATGTACAGGCTGAAAGTCGAGCGACATTCCCTACCTCATGCCACTTAGGAGTGATAGAGCCGAAATGGGAACCCTAGTGACTTCCGTCCCAGAGCCTCCACCCCAACCCCCAAGCCCCCGGCTGTAGGGGCCCCAATGGACTGTCTTAGGCCCTGTCTCATTTGTTCTTCACACATCCCTGTGTGGTGAATGCTCTCACTGATTAATTTGTACTAATTGATAACGTTATGACCCAAGCAAAATATCCCTCAGGCTCAGACTTCGGACTCTTGTGCGAGTGGCAGGTGAGGGAGCATGGCAGTGGGGGCAGGCTGTGGGAAGGGAGTGGAGGACACATCTCTGACCACATTGAGCCAGACCAGCAGCTGCTTCCCTTTCGTATAAGGTGGCCAGGGCTCTGACACTGGGAGAGGGTTCTCTGGGCCACAGCGCCCTGGGGGACACGGAAGAGCTACATTTTGAAGTGGGGGCTAGGAGACCAGTGCCAAGACCTCTGCCCGGAGCCCGGGGGTGGTGCCATGGGGCTCCAGTAAGTAGAGAAAGAAGGTCAGAGTATGTGGAGGGAAAGAGACCTAGGTTCCACTTGGCCACTAAGCAGCCAAGTGTCCAACTAGCTCCTCGGCCCGGGACAGCTATCCTCTGCTTCTAGTGACACTTTCCAGAGCCATTTCCAGCCCCCACACAGTGGACAATAGGCACCAACCTCCCAGGGCTCATTACAGGTGAGTTGTGCTCACCCGGCCGGCCACAATGGAAAAACTTTCAAGACCAAGCACAGTAGGGCTGCATCCCAGCTGGGGAGGGCAATGGCAGGGTTTCAGGCAGACTTACTGAGACAAGCTCTCGAAACCCTGGCCCATCCCTGCCTGTAATTTCACAGGGGTGAGGCTAACAGGATTAAGTAGTTGTAAGAAAGAACTATGTGAGCCCAGAAATAAACCCATGCACTTGTGGTCAATTAATTTTACGATAAAGAAGGTAAGAACACACAATGGGGAAACAACAGCGTCTTCAATAAGTGGTGTCTGGAGAACGGGACAGCCATGTGTGAAAGGATGGAACTAGACCTCTATCTTATACCAAACACAAAAACTAACTGAAACTGGATTGAAGACTTGAATGTAAGACCTGAAACCACAAAACTCTTAGAAGACAACATAGGGGATAAGCTTCTTGACATCATTCCTGGCAATGATTTTTTGGATTTAACGCCCAAAACAAAGGCAAAAAAAAGGCAAAAATGAACAAGCGGGACTATATCAAACTAAAATACGTCAGCATAGCAAAGAAAACCATCAACAAGATGAAAAGGTAACCTACAGAATGGGAGAAAAAAAATTTCAAATCATCTATCTGATGAGAGGTTAATATCCAAAATACGTAAAGAACTCATTTAATTCGGTAGCAAAAAAAAAAAAAATCTAATTAAAAAATGGACAGAGGAACTGAATAGACATTTTTCCAAAAAAGACATCTGGATGGCCAAGAGGTACATGAAAAGATGCTCAACATCACTCATCTTCAGGGACACGCAAATCAAAACCACAATAAGATAACACCTCACACCTGTCAAAGGACTAGTATCAAAAGGACAAGAAAGAACAAGTATTGGCGAGAATGTGGAGAAAAGGGAACCCTCGTGCACTATTGGTGGGAATGCAAATTGGTGCAGCCACTGTGGAAAACAGTATGGAGGGTCTTCAAAAAATTAAAAATGGAACTACCACATCATCCAGCAATTCTATGTCTGGGGATATATTCAAAGGAAACAAGATCACTCTCTCGGAAAGACATCTGCAGCCCCTTGTTTGTTGTAGCATTATTCACACTAGTCAAGATATGGAAGCAACCTCAGTGCACACTAATGGATGAAACGATTAAAAAAAAAGTGGTGTATATAAACAATGGAATATTATTCAGTGATAAAAAAGAAGAAAATCTTACTATTTGAGACTAGCTATGCTAGACCTTGAGGGCATGATACTAAGTGAAATAAGTCAAAGACAAATGCTATGTGAACTCACTTATATGTGAAATCTAAAATACCAGACTCACAGATTACAACAAACAAATAGGCGGTTGCCTAAGTTGAGGGGTTGGGGGGTGGAGGAAATGCATGGAGGGGGTCAGAAGGAACAAACTTCTGGTTATAAGGTAAATCAGTTCTGAGATATAACGTACAGCATGGTGACTATAGTTAGCTGTATTGTATTGTATTTTTGAAAGTTGCTGAGAGAATAGATCTTCAAAGATCTCCTCACAAGAGATAAACAACCTATAACGATGTAAGGTGATGTTAATGTACTGTGATTATTTCACAGCACAGACACATAAATCAATATATGTCAATATATCGTCGATTGATATAGATGTCAATCATAGCTCAATAAAACTAGAAAAAAATAAAAGAAATAAAGTTCCCAAGAATTAAAAAAAAAAAAAAAAAAAAGGGATTCTTCTGCTCTTGGCAAGCCAGGGTGCCAGAGTCAGGGCCAGGGAGGGTGCCGGGGAACCGAGAGAATTCTGGCCTTTTGATATGAGGTTTGCTGGGTCTGTATGGTGCTTGCTACTAACATGGGAGTTCCTTGTTCCCAAAGTGCTAGAAATGGATACCTTGAGAGCCACACTCAGGATCCATCACCTGGAGTGGGACTTGAGCACAGGCTGTAACTGGGTTCATCTGCAGAGTGGGGTGCAGTATGGAACCCTCGCAGACCAAGTCCTTGAGAGGTCTGCATTGTGGGAACAAAAGAGGTCATTGGAGGGGACTCAGAAGCTACGTGCTTCTGCCTTCCAAACCGAGAAACCTTGATCCTTTTCTCGATCATAAAAATAAGGCATACTTCCTGCCACACAGTTCAAATCCTGAAAACACACCAAATCAAAGAACAAGTCCCATGCTCAGATTGCTAACTTTTTGGGTTTTTTTTAACTGTTGGATCAAACATGCACGTACATGTACCAGCCTCATCTCATGAACCCTGGACCACAGAACAAAGGTTCTAGATCAGTTCTTCCTTCTCCATACTGGGGCGTGGCCTTGTTTCCATGCCAACAAGCACAGTAACTCATAGGACCCAGGACCTCCATTCCACTTCTGACCCCTGTGCTCTTTCCAGTCTGGGGGAAGGGACTCCATTTGTCAGCCCGCCTCCCTTCCTACACCCGTACCCCATCCTGCTCTGGGCCGCCAGAAGCAGCAGCATGGGAAACAAGTCATTTCCTCTTTGTCCATGTAGCCCTTGGTAAGGCTGATCCGAGAGGACCCGCAAGGGCCTCCGGGGCTGGGGGTGACAGGAAGCAGGCCTCACCTTCCATATCACCCACCTGTACTGAAGCCTGGTCCTCCCACCCCAACGGCTGGCTTGGGGCAGCCCCTGCCCGTCTCAAGGTCTCAGACCCCAACCGTAACAACCACCACAGGTTCCATGTGCCCTTTCACAGCCAACCTCCCATTCGGTGGGAAGGCTCACCAAAGCCACGCCTGGGCAAAGGTCAAATCCAGATGGGGCTAGTGAGGGGAGGTCTCCACGCTGGGAAGGAAGGGCGAAACCCAGAGGCTGACGAAGTCGCCGCATCAGGGCCCCAACTTTCAAAGGCCTCTTCCAGGGCTCCTTGGGGGGGGCCCTCATTTTTAATATTTTTATTGAAGAGATCCCCTCAACTGGCGTTACATTTCCATTTCTTCAAAATCTGGCTCCATGCCTGGCTTATGCCATTGACAATAAATAACAAAAAATAGTTTCCATTTCTTTGGGTTAATAACCTTCTTTGAAATGGAACCAAGAAGAGACATGCAGTGAAACTCTTCAACCTTTGAGAAGAAAAGACCAGGATTTACGGCGTGTGTGATCAAACCCTTTGAAGGGGTGGGCACTTCACATCACTCAAGGCCGTGACAACATTTGCAGAGAAGATGTGAGCCAGTAAAGGAGGTAGCAGCTGAAGTCACCCCACCTAGATGTTCCCAAGCTGGGGTGGAGGTGGCATAGATGACTCTGGAACACATGGGCCAGTGCTGAGAGCTGGGAGGGTAGAGGCATTGGTCCAAAGGCTCTTGGAAGTAACACAGTCACAGAACTATGCTCCACACATCCTGCCGCCCCAGGGAAATCTTGCCCACCTCCCCCCCAACCCATTCTCTCATAATATTGACTCCAGAGGATCTAATGGACACTCCTCAGAGCTCACGACACTCCCTTTCTCTGAGACTGCCCAGAGCCCTGGTAGAGGTTGCCTCCAGAGCTATTGTAGACCTCAGGACCTTACCTGCTGGGCCGGGATAGACACAGATGAAGACGTGATGCACCCCTTGCCCCAGCTCACTCTCACAACCCAGTAGGCCTGACCCCTGCCACTGCACCCAGGCCTTCCGGCTACATGGGTTCAATTTATAAATGAAATTGAAGACCCAGATTTGGCTCTCAAGGAACCTGAGGGCATGGGCGAAACTCCAGAGTGTGCATGGTGGGGGAGTGGGGGTCCTTGAGGCTTTTGTTCTCACATGACCTGGCTTGGTGGTCTTCCTTACAGGGGCAGTACTGACACAGTGACAATTCCCAAGTGCCCCTCGGTGACAGTAGCTTCTGAGACCCCTCCAGGTAACCGCGGATGACCCCTCAGACCTCAGAGGGGCTGTCTCTTGAGTTGGTTTCTTCTAAGCCACAGCTATGTGTCCTGTCAGCATTTTGTTAATGGGAACACAGATGTTTTGATGCCTTTTAGGTCTAGGAAAGGACAGAGCACCCTTGCCAAATGTGTGCCTGCTGGCCAAGGCTCGAAGCCCTCCTCGTCTGAGTCATGTCGGGTTAGTGCACGCTTGTTCTCCAGAAGTTATTTTAATTTTCAGCCAAGTCAGAAGCGCCTTATAACTCCTTCGGCCTCTCTCGCCCCCGTGACCTTGACCCAGCACCCAAGAAGAGGAGAAAAAGTGGACACTTCTGGGGGAAGTGAGAGAATTTTGCCTGAGGACCTGCCCAAGGCCCTTGTATTCGTCACGGTTCTCTAGAGAAACAGAACCAATGGGATGCGTGTTGTGTATGTGCCCATCCTATTGAGAGGGATGGAGGATGAGAGGCAGATTTATTTTAAGGAACTGTCTCATGAAGTCATGGAGCTGAGAAGTCAAAATCTGCAAAGCATGTGGCAGGCCGGAGACCCAGGGAAGAGCTGATGCAGCTTGCATCCAAAGGCAGTCTGGAGGCAGAACTCCTTCCAACTTGGTGAGGATGGGTCTTTCGGCTGGGGCCCACCCACCTTGTGGAAGGCAATCTGCTTTACTCAAAGTCTATTGGGTTGAGGCTGATCACACCTAAAAAAATACCTTCACGGCAACATCTAGATTCTAGGTGTTTGACCAAATATTTGGGTGCCACGCCCTAGCCAAGTCAGACCCATAAAATTAGCCACCACAGTCCACCAGCTGGAGCCTCTTTTGGGGACTCTGGACCCCTGGGGTGCTCAAGGCATTTGGGAATTTTAGGTTGGCTGTCCCTCACTCTCTATTTACACCCCAACCCCCCTTCTTGTGGATCTTTTATAATGACCACAGGAGAGATGACAACAGAGGGAGCCCGGAGCCCGGACTGTCACCATACCTCATGCCAGTAACTCATTAGATGCTCACGACAAAGTCAGGATTTAGGCAAATTATTATACCCACTTTACAGGCCACGGTGATGGTGACACATCCAGGACCCAAACCCCAGCATGCTTTCCCCAGACCCTGATGGGATGGGGTGGCTGGGTCTGCCTTAGAGAGGGGTCCATGCAGAGCCACCTCTGTCCATCTCCTGACGCCTCTCAGCTTACAGCGCCCCCTGCTGGCCCTGATGGCAGCCTTCTGCACACACTCCCAGCCCACCTCTTCCCTGGCCAATTGGCCCCCCTTGAGAGCGGAAAACAAGCTAGAGATAACTGGGAATCCATGTCACTGAACCTAGGATCTGAGTTCACGCTAGATGACCCAGCAAACGAATGGACGAACTGAGGGAGTGAAGGCGTGAACTGAGTGTGAGCCCGGGACAGTCGTGTGCATCTCACCACCTAGACCCACCTTATTCTTCCACTGGCTTGCTGCCCAGCTAAGCTTTGTCCAGTCGCCAACCTTCACCTGCAGACCTGGTTGAACTGTACCAGCATCGGCATTATCTTTAGCAAACATGACGCCCAGCCCAGCGGGGAGCTCAATTCATACACACACACATATCCACAGGACCGTGTGTGACCACAAGTACACACAGACACATACAGAGCCATGTTGCACAACCAGCCATGGTCTCCTGCTGGAGCCCACCTGGTACACAGGCCCTCCCCTCACCTCTTGCGACAAGGTGGGGACTTCAGAGCCTAAGAAATGGGGCATGTTGTGCCAAATTTAATATAGTGCACATTTCATTCATTCCATAGTCACGATTCCACAGGTATTTACCTCATCCCCTACTTCATGTCAGGCACTGCTGTAGGAGACAGAACCCTCTTTATTTCTGTTAGTCTTCCTTGCAGCCCCAGCGAGCGGGTGCCATTATCTCCACTTTACAGCTAGAGAAAGTGAGGCTAAGGGACCCCCCAGGTGGATGGCATGGCTGCCTTTGGTGCCACGCTGCCTCTGGATAGCCATTCGGAAAGCATGTTCTGCCTCTTTCTTCAGCTTCTGGGAACCAGGACTAGGGGCTCAGAGAAGGCCCCCCCACCCCGTCTGCTGGTGGCCACTCTCAGCCCCACAGGCTGTACCCCGCACACACACAGACCCTTCCAGGAACGTTCACACGGGCTTGTTGGCTGCTTCCGTGTGTGGCACACATGGGTGTGCATGTTCCCACACGACCCAAGATTTATGAAAATTGCATCTGGGTTTTACTGGAAAACTGTGTCTCCTGTGGTTGACTCTGAAGAGGGGGAGGAGAGAGGGCAGAGCTGAGGGAGGGCCTGAATCCAGCAGGCAGCCTGGGCAAAGCTAATGGCATGGATAAAATGGCTGCTTTGAGCTTGGGCATGGTGGGAGGTTCGGAGTCTTGGGAGTCATCACTCTTGGAATAACTAGCCGGGATGGAGGGTGAAGGCTCAATAAAAGATGTGCTATGCTTCTGGATCTTTCTACACTCTCCAGTGAACAGTTCCAGGGGTTTCTGGGTGGGTAGGCACCGGCGACACTGAAATGATCCTGCACTGGCCCATAGCATGTGTCCCACCTGCTCTCCCCGTGTCCTCACCCTCCCCACTATGATCCATGCTTCCCAAGGTCAGAGATCAGAGCCAGATTGCATCACTTCCTTGCTTAAACCCCACCAATGGCTCCCCACCTACGGGAATGAGGCCAACTCCTGACCATGGAGCTGACAAGACTGTATTCCTTCCCTACCTGCTGTAACAAGTCAGCATAAACTTGACATCTTATTGCACAGCAAAGAAAACAGTCAACAAACCAAAAGACAACTGACAGAATGGGAGAAGATATTTGCAAATGACATATCAGATAAAGGCCTAGTATCCAAAATCTAGAACATATCAAACTCAATACCCAAAGAACAAATAATCCAATCAAGAAATGGGCAGAGGACATGAACAGACATTTCTGCAGAGAAGACATCCAGATGGCCAACAGACACATGAAAAAGTGCTCCACATCACTCGGCATCAAGGAAATACAAATCAAAACCACAATGAGATACCACCTCACACCAGTCAGAATGGCTAAAATTAACAAGTCAGGAAACGACAAGTGTTGGCGAGAATGTGGAGAAAGGGGAACCCTCCTACTTGCATTCCCACTGTTGGTGGGAATGCAAGCCAGTGCAGCCACTCTGGAAAACAGCATGGAGGTTCCTCAAAAAGTTGAAAATAGAGCTACCCTATGACCCAGAGATTGCGCAACTGGGTATTTACCCTAAAGATACAAATGTAGTGATCTGAAGGGGCATGTGCACCCGAGTGTTTATAGCAGCAATTGTCCACAACAGCCAAACTATGGAAAAAACCTAGATGTCCATCAACAGAGGAATGCATAAAGAAGATGTGATAGACACACACACACACACACACACACACACACACACACACACACACACAATGGAATATTATGCAGCCATCAAAAATTGAAATCTTGCCATTTGCAAAAATGTGGATGGAACTAGAGGGTATTATGCTGAGCGAAATAAATCAATCAGAGAAAGACAATTATCATATGATCTCAGTGATTTGAGGAATTTGAGAAACAAGACAGAGGATCATAGGGGAAGGGAGGGGAAAATGAAACGAGATGAAACCAGAGAGGGAGACAAACCATAAGAGACTCTTAATTCAGGAAACAAACTGAGGGTTGCTGGAGTGGAGGGGGGTGGGAGGAATGGGGTGGGTGGCTGGGTGATGGACATTGGGGAGGGTATATGCTATGGTGAGCGCTGTGAATTGTGTAAGACTGATGAATCACAGACCCGTAACCCAGAAGCAAATAATACATTATATGTTAATAATAATAAAAAACTTAACAGCTTAAAACAACATGAATTTATTCTCTTATAGTTCTGTAGGTCAGAAATCCGACATGGATCTCACTGGGCTAAAATCAAGGTCAGGTTTACTGGTTTCAGGGATGAGAATATAGACCTCTTTGGGGACTATTACTCTGCCTACAGACCTGATCAAGCCCAGCCACTTCCAGCTATGCCCAGATTGAGCACCCCACTCTGTCCACTGAACTCCGGTATTTGGACCTCCTCTGAGTCTCTCCACATGCCTCAGCAAGCTCGTTTCTACCTCAGGGCATCTACACTGCTCTGCTCAGAAAATCTGCCCCTGGTCCTCAGAAGTCGGGTCCTGTGCTTCCACTTTCCCTGAGAAGTCCCCTCTTAGAGAGTACCTGCCTGCTCAGTGTTCAGTAGCCTCCTGACCTTCCTTCAAAACAGCTCCCCAGTTCAGTTGTCTGCCTTTGGAGACTTTTCAGTTTTATCTTGTTTTCCTCTCCCTGCTTGGTAAGCTCCATGACAGCAGGGCCTGTGTCCTCCTCAGCTTCCCCTCCCCTACCACATACTGAGCATTTACAGTGAACACGTTCTCTGAATGGCGTTTTCTCATTACTACAGTCCTCTGAGATGTGTGTGTGTGTGTGTCTCTTACCTTCAGTGTTCATAGGAGGAAACGGATTCTTTAAAGGCAGAAACTTGTCCCAGGGCACTCAGCCAGGAAGAGTGGGAGCCAAGACACTGATCAGGTACTGTGAGTCTTTTCCACTTGCTATAGTGCCTGGGGCCCTGCAGCCTCCCCAGGCCGGAATAACACTGGGCCCGGCAGCAGAATGGGTTCTCAGGACATAGTTGTGGAATGAGCACAGCATCTTACGTGTTAGCTTCCTTCTGGGAGGTTAAAATCTTGAATCATGCAATCAGACAAAAGACCCAAATCACAGGAGCCCCTGAGGTGATACCAACATATTCCGAGGATTCTCACTTGCTTTTATGTTTTCTCACTAGTGTAAATGACTGCTACTTCTCTGGAAGCAGCTTTTCTTTGTTTCTTTTTTTCTCTGATACTACAGACACCCCTCCCTGCCCTGAACTCTGCGGTGCTTTCCCTTTCTTCAGAGAAGCTGGGAAGCATCTGTGCCCTCGGCTCCCTGGGCCATGTGCCCAGTTACAGCTGATGCTCTCTGACCCCAGCCCCTCCTGCGGAGATGGGGGACACAGCCCGGGTGCGCAGAGGGAAGGGTTCCTTTGGGGCTTGCAGGGTGCCTCCCCTTCTGTTGAGGTTCTAGAGGTACATTAATCTCCAGAGTAAAGAGAAATGTCTGAGTCACTGGCCAATCCGAAAGGCCGCAGGGGGGCCAACACACAGCTTGGGGGCTTTGGAGTTGCCTGGAGTTGCAGCTAGCCTTTCCCCAGCTCTCCCCAGGTTTTGACGTGTATAGCTGTCGTGTCTCCATCTTACATGGAAACCCAACCCCAGGATGAGTGGCTTGGGCCTTGCTTCCCATTTAGCCTCCTCCCAAGGGAGATTCGGGTGCCCAGACTGCCAGAGGGGCCCACGTCTTCCCACATACAAGGAAAAGAAATGATTACTTCCTTGAGGTATAGCTTTTATTTACTGGAGTGGGTAGATGTGGATCCTGCTGAAGTATAGAGACTTATTTTTTCTTTCATGATAATGTAATGGCCTAATTTTAGGTCCTAGGCAGTTACCAAAAAGCATGGAAGACTCTGGTTGGGGGTTTGAAAGGATGTAGAAAGTTCTACCTGCCCCGATGTCCCCATGTCCCTTAGGGCTGCGCGAGCCTTGAGAAGGTTGGCAGCTGTCCAGCAGTCCCGCCACTGTCCCTGCAGATCAAGGGAGTGACCAGCACACTCAGGCTTCTGTCAACAGTCTGGAGACTTCGGGAGCACGGGCAGCTGGCTGGGAGGCAGGGCTGGTGGCCATGGAGGGAGGGCTGGTGTCCAGACGGTGCGGGGAGCAGCTGCGCAGACCAAGAGGGTGTGGTCTGCCTGGAATCCGATGTGGTGTCAAACACGACTGCTCCTCCAGTGTGAATGGGCCTGTCCCATTCTGTCCACACTGTCCCCGCTGTCCCCACTGTCAATACCTACTACCCAATACCCACTACCCACTGTCAATACCCACTACCCTTGGGGAGCGAAGGGGCCTCCATTCTTCTTTGTAATCAGGACTATCCTGGATAGGACTTGAGGCCCATTCCTGAAGGTGCCAGAGAGAGGATGAAGTTTCTGGAGAAGGCCCAAGGTGCCAGGAAGGACTCTCTGTCCCCTGTCCTCACCCTGATTGCACGCCTTTGCCTGCAGTACATCTCTGGGTCAGTCTGTGGGAAAGTTGGCAGAAACAGCTATAGTCCACCCCCCACTCCCGCTCCAGCCATCCCCATCATCTGCAAGGAGACTGTGCGGCTGGCCCCATAAAGATGGAAATCTGGGCACCTTGGTGACTCAGTGGTCATTTAAACGTCGGCCTTCAGAGTGGATCACGATCCCGGGGTCTTGGGATGGAGCCCCATGTTAGGCCCCCTGCTCATCAGGGAGCCTGCCTCTCCCTTGGTCCCTCCGTCCTGCTTGTACTCTCTCTCACTCTCTTGCTCATGTTCTCCCTCTCATAAATAAATAAAAAATCTTAAAAAAAAAAAAAAGGTGGAAATCTGTTTTCTCGCCTCCTGGATTTACGCTG